CCGAGTCACTGGTGCAGCAGTTAGCATCTGTTGAGCATGATTAGAGGGTTTTTAGAAACCTATTAAAGTAACCTTAAAAATAGGGTTGTCTAAAATAGATATTGTATTAGTCTGATATCACATGAGATGAAAGTCACATTTATAAAATGTTGAATCTCTTAAATCTAAATCTAAGCAAGGATGGAATATATCCTGTTAATTTGTCAAACCGGTAGAGAACCGCCTACACAAGACAGTAAGGATTAATCAAGCCCCGGTAAGAGGGCATTTGAAAAATACAGTTTTCTAATTATACAATCTCTTTTCCATGGTCCAGGGTTAATACAGTTCTGCATTCTGACAGTTAGTAATAGAAAAGGAAAAAAAAGGACCAAAGCATATGAATTGTCTTATAATTACCTGAAACAGAGGTGTTCCTTCTGGCAGCGAAGAACTTTACAAGTGTTAATCTGATATTTTCAGCATTTGATATCTTCCCTCTTAAACAAGGTTGAGAATAATTAAAGAGTTTTGTGTCATTGCTGGTGTTTAAATTATACTCGTAGTGTTCGGAGACTTGGGCTTATTGCCTAGCCAGTGGTGAGTAAGTCTACATAAATAGTTGGAAAATTTGCCCTTTTTTGACATTTTAACTCCCTCGTTGAATTATGTCCTAGACACTGTGTCTTTGCAGTGCTGGGCCCTTATTCCTACTATGAACATGAAAACTGTGCGCATCTCTAAGCCATAGTGAGACCCACCCTCCTCGGCTGGTTTTTGCACTTGTATTTGTAGCTCTTGCTGCATGTATTCCAGTGCAGCATAACTAGAAAAAGATACACATATTCTTTAATTTCTCGCTGTTTTGTAGTCAGAAGGGTTAGGGAGATGACTTGGGACACCCAACAAAAAGACCCGAGGAGAAGATGGGACATTGGGGTTAGAAATGTAGACTTCAGCGTTTTGCAGCTAGGTCTGCTATCTGAGAATCTAGGGAGGGATGAATTCTTGAGCAGGACTGAAGCTTGGGGTGTGCCCAGGAAGTGAGAGCATAAAGGACCCATAGAAAAGGTGGACCCCAAAGACTCTGGTCCTCCTGGGAGAGTTTGGGTGGAGAGTAATAACAGGGTGCAGCAGACTGCAGCCAGAGAGGCTCTGGGTTTAGGTGAAGATGAGGCCGTCCAGGGGTGTGCCGGGACCAGCTCAGCGGGGCAGGTGTACGAGCCTCTTCCCAGTTCCCCGTCATGCTGTTGGGAGCTTGAGATTCGCTGTGTGGGCGTATTTACACCACTGAAATGGGCAGATGCTACAAATTAGGGCCATTTAGAAAAGAAGTTGGTTGTAAACATGACTAGGGTATTATAGAGGTCCATGGGTTCCCACAGAGTGGTGTTTCTGAAACTTTTTTTTACACGACAACTCGGCAAACCTAGTTTTACACACACACACACACACACACGGGACAGTTGTGAGGTGCAGGACCCAGCTTTGCCATGTGGGTGCTTTCTGATCTTAGTCCTTCCCTTTTTATTAAAAAGAGCGGGCAAATGTCGTTTATGACGCCCTAAGCTGACTCCATGACCTGCAGTTTGAAAAATTGTTGTTTTAGAGAAAAACTAGAGGTTTGATATGCATTGCAGAGTCAAGAGACTTGCCATTGGCCATGGGGCAGGAGACTCCCGTTTTGTGGTCGGAGCCTGTCTTGGAGAAGGTGAGCTGTGCTGGAAGATAGAGGAGGGAAACTGGGACTCTTAGGAAAAAGCTAAAAATTGGAATACTTAGTGTTTTTTAAAATTGCTTTTGGTACTACCCTGGACAAGTGGCAGAGCTGGGCCTGAACCCCGGGGTGGCCTTCTGTCGCAGGTGAGGAGGGCAAGGCCAGGAGATGCTTGGCCTGCGGTCAGGCTGCCCGGGCTCGAAGCTCGTCTGCCACAGGCCAGGCCCGCTCACTGCTGTGTGCCCCGTGAGGCCTGAAGCTGTTTTGGGGGGTTCTCTGTTACTTGTCAGTATAGGTGGCCAGTCCAAAAAAATGAGGCCCCAGACTGACTGACCCTGACTGACCCATGTTAATGATTCAGATGGACTCAACTTGTGGACAAGTTGTCTGTCCAGTGTCCTCTGTGAGGACAGTCTGGGGACCTGGGATTTGCGGCCTGCCTGCGTCATGATGGACCAGCCCTGAAGGGGGATGCAGGGCCATTCGGGAGGGGAGGCTGAGGGTCAAAACACAGAGGCCGTGGGATCGTGGACCTGAAAGGTCAGTGCCAGGCCACCAAGGTGCAGCCTTTCAGGCTTCAGGGTCTGGACCCACAGCAGTGGGGCGTGCCGAGGTGCCAGGTGCTGCCCAGGGTGCGAACTTCTCTCCTCCACCCACCAGGATGCAGGCCCAGGAAGCTGGGGTTAGTCAGGCGGGTTTGGCCGGCCAAGAAGGCCCTGGGAAAGGCGGGAGTGGGTGATTGTCACGTCTGAGGCTAAAGAGGTGCGTGGAGCTCTTGGGTGCTGCGTTTTTCACTGTCTAGTTTGAATATGTGAAGTTGTGGATCGTGAACTGTGTCTTTGAAAGAGCGTCGTGGGTGCCTGGCATTGGACTGGTCGCGTTGCCGGCACCCTCATATCTTCTAAATTGAAGCTTTATATTTTCCATCTTGTGATTTTGTGGTTAACAGAAAGGAAATCTGTTTGTGATCCTGTGTGTCATTTCTCTAAACCCCCCTTTATCCAGGGATGTTGGATGTTGCCCAAGAGAATCTGTTTCATATGGTAATTTTCTTAATGAATCCAGACATACAACGCTAAATTTTGCCCCAAACTGCTTTGGATGATTTAGAGGATGATAGTTGCCTTCAATGTGATACTTTTTAGAAATTCAAAAGAGGACAGTGTACTAGGTTTTCTAACAGATTCAGAGACTCTGTAGTTCTGAATATTAATACCAACAGCATCAAAAAATCTCTATCGGATGGGAAAGCACATTTTGGATCTTTGAATTTAAGAGGACCTGCTGCATTTTCCAACGTCGCCATCAATAATCGGAATCTGCATTTCCTCCTTTATTTAGTCAATAAATATTTAACGCCCATTACGTCCCTGGCAGCGCATTAGACTCTGGGGGAGCTACACGAACCGAGAAGACTGGCCTCTGCCCTCAAGGGGGAAATAGAAGAAATAATTACATCTAATTGTTTTTAACACAGAGCAGTGTTAATCCCAGCTTGGGGACATCGTGGTCACCAGGGAAGGCAGTGGGTTTAAGGAGACCTCTGCTTGGGTAGCGTCTCCCTGACCACTGAGCATGGATCCCCCCTCCTCTTTCCTGTCCTCGATACCCCCTTGGGGTTTGTAGACCAGTGTGGCTCAGAAGGCTGGCTCGGGTCCCCCTGGCCCGAGGGGATCGTCCTCTGATGGGCTGTGATCTGATTAGGCACTGCTTTTTTCCCCTTTAGATTTCCTTACAGTGCCTTAGACTGCGCATTTGCACGTACAGCTAAGACCTCCTAAACCATGGTCTTCATAGGCTAAAGTGAGTCCTCCCACCGTTTCCTGGGAGGGCCCTGGGTCTGCTTTCTGCCTGTGGCAGCTGACGGGCACCTGTAGCCGTGGCTACCGACCTGAGAACAGGAAGTGTGGGTAGGAGGGTGGGCCAGGGGCTCAGTGCTCTCTGAGCCAGACCAGCCACTCAGTAAAGGCTCACAGGCCAGAACGTTTGAAAGCCGAGATTAGGCCTCAGCACCCCTGGAGGAAGGTGTTGTGTGTAGAAGGGTGGTTGATGGGTGGGAGAAGGTGAGGGAGACCCTCGAAGGCCCCATATTTATAAATCTAGGAGATGTGTATGGTTTGGACCACGGCCAGAGAGTCATTAATGCGTTCCACAAACATTTATTTTAGCACTTGTGTGCATAGCGTTCGGTAAGTCACCTTTGGGATGCCGGAGGATTCCGTGTTTCCTAAACACGTCCACACGTGGGAACCGCAGTGGGGAACCTCGTAAAGATCTCACAGCCCGGGCCACACCCCGGGCCCCGTCAGGCTCCAGGTGTGGGACACAGGCATCAGTGTTTTGGAAGCTGTCCTGGGATTAACTGTGCAGACGATTTGTGAATCACTGTCACAAGGAAATTATTGTACAATTGTAGGTAATGCACCCAGAAAATGGAGTAGCAATTAAGCTAGCACACAGCGGCCTCACAAAGTAGGTGGGAGATTCCAAACTAAATCAGAGTGGCGGCCGAAAGCCCTTCCCACGAGAGGAGCGTCCTGTGGATTAGGTGGTGGGCACCCCCAGCCAAGGGGCCTGGGGAGATGGGTGGGCTTTGACAGGTGCGGGAGAGGAGAGAAGGGTGCTCCCTTCATCCTTGAATTCAGGCAGGTCTCGGAATGACCTTGGATCACCCTCTAGGGATCTTGGGTAGAATGAGCCAGCGTAGCAAGAACTGGACTTTTCATTGCCATGAAGTGGATGAATAGTTTTCTTAAAAAAGACAAATTACTGGGTACTCACCTGTGTGCGGGCTGAAAACCACGGTGAGGTGAGGCTGATCCCTCGTGACAGAAGTGCTCCGTGGCAGTTCTCGATCCGCCTGCTCCTAAAATTTCTTCCCGCTTTCTTAAGGGCCCCGGGAGTATCTCTGTGTGTGCAAAGGGGCATCACAGATGAACCATTTTACATGGGCCATTCTGTACCCCACAGTCTTCTGGAGTTGTGAGCTGTGGTTCCACTTAGGGCAGGCGAAGGTACTTGACCTTGGCCCCCCTTTTTCCCCTCTCCCCCGGGTGCTCTAGGCGGTTACAGACCCAGGGCTGCGGAGGGGAGCCTTTGTGCTACTCATGGCCCACTTGCCAGACCACAGGGCCCTCATTTGCTATTCTCAGTACTTTGGGCTTTGGGTTTCTAATCAGCTTCTTTTTAATCGAGTCTATTATGTGTTATTTCAGAGGGCGGAATGGAATGCTTCAACACCGCTCGTACATGGCTCCCGAGCTGGAGTCTGAGTGTTTCTTTTTTCTCTCGTTCACACCCACAGTGTGCCACGCCGAGCTGAATGCCATCATGAACAAAAACTCGGCCGATGTGAAAGGCTGTACCATCTACGTGGCCCTGTTCCCGTGTAATGAATGTGCTAAGCTCATCATCCAGGCAGGTAGGAGCCGGCCGAGGCGTTCGTCCCATTTGCATCCCGCCCGCTCAGCGCAGCTCCTTGCAGATGTGTTTGATCTTAAGTTGCTATTGTTTAGATCTAAATTAATTGCACTATCAACTTTGCAAGATGCTTCCCGTGTTTTGTTTTTGAATGGTGCCAGGTATTCCACGACTAATTGCATCCTCTGTGATTCTTAGCATGTTTTTAATTTAGTTTGCAACTTCTTAAACTGCAAGCTGCCAAAAAACAACCCAGGCTTTGCATATCATTACTGTCAGTTTACTGCTCTCTGACATATTGTGCATAGATTAGGGGGGAGGGAGGGAAATGAATTTCTGTCAGAGACAAGGTCAGCTGGGAGTCTGTATATGAAATTTTAATTTGTATCTAATGTATGGTAGGTATTTGAGGGCCTGACCATATCTTTGCATGCAAATGTCATAAGGCTCCATTGGTAGTTCTTTAAGTTTTTCTTACCGTAAATCTACACCCTTGTATCTGAATATTTCACTTTTTTCAAATTGTCACATGTAAGACTCAGCTACACTTTATCTCCATAAAACTCTTGGCATGAGATCTAAAGACTTACCGCGTTAGCCAGATGTGCAGTTTCGGTGTGCTGTTTGTCATGACCCCGGGCACTTCTGAGCCAGGGAGGCCTGCTGGTGTTGGAACCACAGTTTTTGCCATGGTATAGTGTGGGCTCTGGGCTTCAGTGCAGAGGCTGAGGCTGGCCTGTGGAGAGAGCAGCGAGTGTCCTGCGTGGCTAGCTTCCACGCTGTCCCTTCAGAGCCTGGTGGTGTATGGAGAGCCCTCCAGAACCCTGGTGCTCACGTCCACGCCGCCCCGGGGCAAGGGAGATCCAGACCGATCTGCTCTCCTGGCGCTGGCGTGAGTGGGGCCACAGAGCCGCCCTGGGAAGAAAGAATATTCAGTTGTCCACAGTAAAGGAGATTTGTTCATCGGATCAAGGCTTGACTGCGTGACATGTTTTCACCTTGCATTAGTTTTTTAAAAAATCCATAAAGACTGGAGGGCAGATTAAACGTAACCTGTCGGCCCAGCGTGGCCTTGCCTTGGAGAGCTGCAGCTAAGGTTTCATCGCTGGACATTGCGCGCATGCGCACTGTTAGTCGCAGGCGCCACCAGGCCTCCGTGGCCGCGTGTGGGTCTGTGACGGTGTGTCTGTGCCTATGCTAACGGGGCTTCCTTGCTCTGTTGCCTTTTAAGGTATCAAAGAAGTTATATTCATGTCTGATAAATACCACGATAGCGAGGAGACTGTCGCTGCGAGGCTCATGTTTGATATGGCTGGGGTTACCTTCAGGTAAGTGGGGAGGACTCGGGCAGCGGGGCGAAAGCCGGATGCAGGACCAGCTGTGAGCTGGCTGATGGATGGTTCCCTTCTGCCTGCGAGGCCGGACTTCCAGCCCCACGGGGAGCATCCTTTCCAATGCGATGGGCCAAGAATCGAAGGATTATTTTAGGGGTAGCTTTTTAAGAGCAGGAAAGAAGTCTTTGAACACGATTGCACTTTAATATTAGTAGCTTTCCAAGGCTTAGACTAATTATCCTGGTCGCGAGAAACTTCTAAAAACTCACAAGTTTTATGATACGAACATTAAACCTTTGTCAATTTTGCAAGCGTGGCAACCACCAGCATAGAAAATGTAGGATGAAAGTAATGTGCCAGGTTTGAAACACCCTGAATTCTTTTGACAGCCACATTTTTAAATTGAGACTTGAAGTCATTTAGATTTTATGATGATCTTTGTTAGGCAAAGACTGGGAGGTATGTTTGACTTGCAGATAAGTTCAAACCCCTTTGATTCATGGTGGCAACTTCTTTGAGACAGCAGAAAGGTTTCCAAGCAGCTCCTTCACAGTGTTTGCTGCGGTCAGTGGGGTGGTTCTCGAGTTCACCATCAGGGACGTAGGTCCTAGGCCAGGGGCCTGTTGTGCCTTACCAGACTCTAAGTCCATGTTATTTACATAACAACAATTAGATGTGAAATACAGAGTGGGTCTATTTTACTTCTGCATGTTTTTAGAACATGATTTTAAAAACAACATCTCACTAAACCTCATTGTTTTTTGCTATGTACAGGAGGCAAAAGAAAATTTAGTGTACTTTGCTTTAGTGCAGTTTCATGCTGGCTGTAGAAAGCCAACATTTCCTAGAAAAGAAGATAAGTCTGGTGGGAAAACTAGTAATGGGATGTCAGGTTGTGCACCTGACTTGTTGGAAATCCTTTGACCTTCCGGTAATTCATGTGCTCAGCCAGCTGAGGAAACTTCGAGCCAAGCCCGCCCCGGCATCTGCTTTGGTCTTAGTCTTTTGTGGGCCCTGATTGTCTCCAAAGGGTGCATGGTAATTGGCGCCTAGAAGATAAAGTGAGTCCCCTGAAAATTTTTTCGTCCCCACAGAAAATGTAGGTTAAGCCAAAGTAAACAAATTGCTTTAAGTGCTCACTGGATAATTTCATTGTATATTTTGTTTGTTATGTTTAGGAAATTCACACCCAAGTGCAGCAAGATTGTCATTGACTTTGATTCGATTAACAGCAGGCCCAGTCAGAAGCTTCAGTGAGCTCCACCTCCAGCCGGAAGGTTGGGATTATCCTCTTCGAAGGAGCTGCTAATGCCTTTCATCCTGAAGGTCCTCATCACTTTTCAGTTGCCAGCACAGGCAAAGCAGACATCCAAAGAATATCAAGCCTCAGTTCTCAGACTCTCTCTCAGGTCCCATGGAATCTGCATCTGATTAAGCTCTTGACGTAGGGTTTAAGGTCAAGGAGCCTGTCGATGGCCTGTGTCTGGGGCTGGAGTGGCTAGCTTTCTCCTTGGAGGCTCGGCAGAAGAGCGTCCCCACTCCGTCACCCACTGCATGTCACAGCTGCTCCACACGGCTCCATGGCTGGGAGGACAAATAAATAATTGTTGCATCCCTGGCGGGATGAGCAGGCGCACTGATTGGAACATCTGGCTCAAATGAAGCATCACATGTAGTGCCCTTGGGGGAAAAAATAGGACCCGCGTGGCAGTAGCATTAAAGATATCTGCACGAGAGAGTTGAGGGAAACTCCCACCCCCAAATCCTGGGGGAGGGCACACCTGGCATCAGAGTGGGTGAACGGGTGAGCCTAACTGAACTTGGGATGCTTTCTCTGCGTTTACTGTCCTGCTCCTGTCCACAGGTGGAGGCGGACTAGTTCTGCCCCCAGACCACGCCCTGCTGTGGTGGGCGGGGTTGTGTGGCTGGGCGTGCCGTCGTTGGTCATTTCCAAGGCCACAGCGCAACGCAGGAGAAATTGATTTTCTGTCCTGTGAGTGAGATGTGGGAAAACGGAGGCGCCTTGAGGTGGTGCTCACGGGCTTGCCTGGGCTCCTGGCACTGTGCCTTCCTCCTCAGACACGAGTCTCGCACCTTCCTGTCACTGGGACCCCTGGGGGATGTGTGGCTGTCCACGTGTCCTCAGTCACTTAATTTTTATTAAACATGCTCACTCAGTACCTTTGCTGAGAAAATGGTTTCTTTATCTTAAAGATTATTACTGTTTTAAGGTGCTCTTATATTTTTATGAGGTTTTATTCTGTCTCTTAGGTTTTGTACTCCATATTCTGGGGCATGTTGTAATTTGGCTCCTTACCATTATTATTAGAATCTTATTAAAAACCTACCCTGCCGTAGTATGTTCATTTTTATCTAGTAATTATATGCTTGATTCTCCATTTCTGTCGTTTCTGCATTGTCTGCGAAGCACATTGCATGTGTCTTAATGCTTAGAGAGCAGTGTGAGACCCCCTACGCTGTGTTCTCCTGCGGCCAGTGGGTGGCGCTGTTGTGAGGACCACATTGAAGACAGTGGCAGGTTCTTCTCCCTCCTGGGCACCTGCACCTCACCTAAGGTGTGGCCATCTGATAGGTCATCAGGGCCACCCGACGGGTCCCTCCTGTAATACTTCAGTCTCCAGTCTGGCCCTCCCGCTGCTCTCTTGCTTTATTATCTTATTGAATCTCCTCTCCTCAGTGTTTTCTCTCACCTCCTCCAAACCCCTGGCCCTCTGCTCCAAAATACATGAACCAAATGTAGAAGAAAAGATCAATAAAGATACTTAACGATAGAAAATACATTCAATTTGTATGTTGTTGCAAATTCTCAGTTGTAAGCCCTATAGAAAGGAGTGTGTGATTTTTGTTATGTCCCATGTGTGACTACATCCAGGGTGCATAAGCCAGCAGTGTATCTAATTTGTTTAATTTTGAGACTCATATTTTGTCCCATTTGGTTGCATTGAGTCTGAGTGAAAAAAGAAATTGGGTGGGGGGCGGCAAGGAGGTTAGCAGGAAGGACCTGTGGTGAGAAGGAAGTGTGTCTTACCAGTCAGTGGTTGGGTGGTGGGTGTACGGCAGCGAGGCTTTTACTGCAGGTACCCGAGGCTTCCCTGTGCAGATGGTGATGCTGACCTAGATTCCCTGTGGCTGCAGTGCATGTCATCATCTGTGGCGTCACTGTTGCCTAAGCGGAATCTTCCTGTCCAGAGCATTCTGCAGGTGTCAGTGCTCCGGATGCCAGAGGTGGGCTTCAAACTGCTGCCTTGGGGACAGGCCTGCTGGGTGTAGGATTTGTGGCCTCTTCTGCGCCTCAGGCAGGGCGGGGATGGTGGCGAAGGGAGGCCGTGTCTGCGAGGTGCGTTGCTGGCTGTTGATGGCTAATAAATGGCAATCAGGGAACCGTCTTTCTCTGAACTGTTCCTGGTAGGATAACTACGTTGGGAAGGCAAACTTTGTGAGTGAAATGACAGGAATTCTATTTCCCTGACGCATTTTATGCTTTTTAAAAAATAAGTATGCCATTACAGATTTATCAAGCCCCACTAGTCCCAGCCATGAAAGGGATCTACTGTGTGAGCCATCTTTTCCTGAATTAAAGAGGAAGCCAAGTCAGGGAACCAGCATCCAGAGAAAAAATGGAGAAGGGCTTAGATAAGCATTTAGTCTCGTGTGATCGATGACCCAAATGTCCTGTGCGCCTGGCATAGTGTTTGATCTCATGTGAAATCTGCCTGCGGATTGAAAATATTTAGGCTGAAGAGTCAGTTGTCGTGGGAGGAACTGAGAAAGTGGGGAGGTCGTTTTCTTACCGTGACACTGTGTGGGGAGAGGTTTTAACAGTTACGATTCACTTGTTTTTGTATTTTAAAATAAGGTTGTCAAAAATGGTAGCTTTGGGAGGTCATCAGCCAGGAGACTGGCTTAAAGTTCTGGGAGGACCAGACCCCCAGGGTCCAGGGTTCTTCAGACCTGCCCGCCGTCAGGGACGGTGGTGATGAGAGTGACCGATCACATTTGCGGGGACAGGCAAGGTAACCCTGGGTCCAGGACTTTGGGGTTCCAGGATCATGTTCAGAGGAAGAGGCTTATCATGTTTAGACTAAAGGAGGGTGCCCAAGACTTCTCCTGAAAAGACCTAGAGGTAGCCCTGCTTTCCTTCGAGAGCAGTTGGTCTAAAGCCATTCGTCATTGGACGATACGGCTCCCGGGAGGCGCTGAACCGGCCGGCCCTCAGGTGCTTCTCCGAGGGTTGCTGCTTCAGAGTTGGAGTGGGTGTGCGCGGTTGGGTAGTAGAATTGTTAGGTCAGTGGAGCCCATCATGTTGTGACTTGTTTTAAGAAACACACGTTTGGTCTCTGTTCCTTGTATCTGGCACAGAGCTAAAAACCCCAGAATATCCTGAGTGATGAGAGGGATAAAGGCATCTCTTGTTGGGTTAATGAGGTGTCTGGGATTCCACCTAAGGATGAGGGCTGGTTGCCTGGAGAGCCAACCATGTGATTAGAGGGTTGAAACTTCCAGGCCCAGGCCACCCCCCTCCGGGGAGGAGGGCGGGGCTGGAGGTGGGTCAACAGCCAGGGGCCAGTGAGATGATCAGTTGGGTCTAGGGAATGAGGTCTCCATAGACAGGGCAAGGTCTAGGGAACTTTGGGCTGGTGAACACAAGGAGGCTTGGGCTGACTAAGCTCTGCACCGTTCTTGTTCCTTGCCCTGTGCACGCCCTTCATCTGGCTGTTGCTGAGTTATATCTCTTTACAATAAGTCGGTCCTCTAGTACATAAAATGTTTCTCAGCTCTGTGAGCTGCTCTGGCAGTAGAGGCAAAACCTGGATGTTCAACGGGCTTCCAAACATGCTAGAAGGTTGTGGGATCTCCGACCTAGTCAGAAGCACAGGTGACAACCTGGACTCTTGATGGACTTCTGAAGTGGGGGTGGGGGGCAGTGTTGTAGGGCTGAGCCCTTTACCTGTGGGATCTGAGGCTCTTTCTGGGTGGACAGTGTCAGAACTGAGCCGACTGGAGCATCCCCAGCTGCTGTCCTGAGAATTGCTTGACGTTGAGAGGTAAAGCCATCCCCCCTCCTCAACACTGAAATTGGGCCAAGGAGCCCAAAATAAAGCCCAGCTTTGCCAACCTCCTTCCTTTGTCAGCGGTCTCCACCTGCCCAGACCACGCAGACGTGACCTGTACTTTGCTCTGTCTGGGGTTCAGTTGTCTCCTTTCAGTGCCCACATCCGGAAAGGCCAGTGTGGGGGAGGGCAGGGGTCGGAAGTGCAGGCACCCAGCTGTCACTCATTTCCAAGGTCAGAGATTCTAAAAGTCTTCATTAAATTAAAAGGAGTTCAGTATTTCCAAAGAGAAATGAAGGAGGGGTACCATGCCCCTCCTGCTACCACTGAGCAGTGGAATCACTAGAGGGAGCCCAAGGGTCTCACAGGCCTGGGGTGGGACAGGGGTGTGGCCCTCATTCCTGGTGGCCAGCTGCAGACCCTTCTCTCGGGCTCTGCACTCCCTCTTGAACTCACCCAGTCTCTATCTTCACCTTCCTGCCGCCGTTCTCTCTGTGTTTAAATATATATGTTTACAGTGTGGGAAAATACGCATCACATGAAAGTTACCATCTTAACCATTTCTAAGTGTGCAGCTCAGTGGCATTAAGTCCATTCACGCTGTTGTGTGTCCACTGCCACCATCCACATCTGGAGCTCGATTCGGCCTATGACCCTCTGTGCTCATTAAACACTAAGCCCCCCCACCCCCCGCCCTGCCCCCTCGATGTCCCCAGGCCACCACCACACCACCATTCAACATCTGTCTTTGTGATTTCCACGACTCATGTAAGTGGAACCACACAGAACTTTCTCTTTGTGATGGGCTGATTTCACCTAGCATAATGCCTGTAAGGTTTATCCGTGCTGTCAGGATCTCCTTTTTGAAGGCTGGCTAATATTCCACCTTCTGCCACCATTTGTTAATCTGTTCACCTGTTGATGGACTCTTGGATTTCCTCTACCTTTGGGCTGCTGGTCTCTTTTGCATGTCAAAGTTCCTCTGTGACTGGCAGCATCCTCCCAGGCCCCACCTCCCTCCCTACACCAGGCCCTGGTACATCCCAGGGGACTTCTTACCCTGAAAACAACATGAAACAGCCCTTCTTTTAGAAGGCTGTTCACGTGCTTCCTCTGCCCACCCACAGGTTTTGGTGCATCTTGCAAGATTCACCTGGGACCCTGCTTTCCCTAAAGTCTCCTCTCAGCTGTCCTCTGTTGGAGGTGATCTTTTGTCTCTGGAATCCTTCAGCAGTTCCTGTCAGCAACAGTCTAATTAGCAATAAATCATGCGTTGTTTGCTGATGTCTCTTCTACTATCTAGAACTAGAACTGAGGCATTTCATCGAACTTTTCTCATTGGTCTCCTCCTCCTCTAATAAGACGACGACCTGGCCCAGAGCCTGGGTGTGTCTTGAGCATCTCTGTACCCACCTGCGCCCAGCCCACCCATGGGTTCACACCATCGCCTCACGCACCTCACGGTGTTCAGCACACACGGTTTGTATTCCCATTTAAAAGTTATAAACCCGATCGCACCTGAATTCATGGAAGTAGCTGATCGGGAGCCAACTTCCTAAATTACTTTTTACCGTGTTGATTTCCTCATGAGCGGCTTGGAAAAAAGAAAAGTTCAAATAGAACATAAGGGAAAGAAAATCTGTGAGCATCAGGGTTCGTGTGTACATACACCTTTGCGAGCAAAGGGAGATTGCTATTTAAATGTCTTATTTTTAACTCCTGTGTTTCCGTGAAAGCATTCTCATACACGGTTTCGAATCAGGAATTTGGCCATCAGACACACTCTTGGCAGGATACCCGGAGAAAAGACGTTTCCATTTAAACCCATCTGATTAGAGGATGTCTTGACCTTTTGAGCCTTAAATCACTACACAATGCTTACTGTTGCAGGGGTTCTCAGGTTGAACTTTTGTTAATGGCAGTTGTTCTGTCTTTGGTATTGTTAAAGATGCCATTCGGCCCAGGTTTGAAATGGACCTGGTTAGGGAATTGCTTTCTTTGCACAGCAGTGCACAGCAATGCACAGCATGCAGCCTTTGTGTTTATTCTCCTGCCTTTCCCCTGGTTTCCCCCAGAAGCAGGCGCCAGTCCCCTCTGCGGCTGTAGCAGACGCCGCTCAGCAGCTCAGACAAATAGTAGTATCTTTTTCTCACAAAATAAGTACAGAGGTAAGCATTCACTGGAGTTGGTTTAGCTGCTCAGTGATGTTAGCAACGACATAGGCTTTACATTTATTTTCACTTGGCTACCTTTAGCATTGTATCTTCAGGTTTGTTTTGTCAGGCTCCAGGTGTCCTCATGAAATTCCAGAAAACAAAGGTGGGAGGTGGGGTGAACATGAGGCTTCCCTCTTGTTGTCCCTTTATCAGGAAGCTTCCAGCAAATACTTGTTTATGTCTCATTGGCCACACATGGATCATATGAGCACATTTAGCTGCAAGAGAGTCTGTCAGGGTGCACGGCACTCCTGGTTTTAGAGCAGAGGCTGCACGGGAGAAGGGGGTTAGTGACACCTGTTAGCATGCACTGTATGACATTTGGGTTGACGATGGACCACATAGTGGTTGACAGTGGTTTACCACATAGCCTAGTTGTGGCTGTACCATCCAAGTTCATGTAAGTCAGGGGTGTCAAATTCATTTTCACTGGGGACCACTGCAGCCTCACCATTGCCTTCAAAGGGCCAAAATAACTTTAGGACTGTATCAATCTAACTGCTCCTTAACTGT